CTCGCTTCTCCCCACCCACCCATCCATCCCTCGAATGCTACTGGCTTCTGGTAGCAAGGGTTCCCCCCTTTTTTTGCAGCACTGGGATGTTGGCCATAGTTTTAGCTGGAGGGCTGTGACTGGGGTGTGCTCATGCTCCTGCCAAATACTTGGAAAACCCAGAGACTCCTGGCTGGACGATCTTGCTTTTTTGCTTGGGGTCATGCCAGTCACCAAATTTTGAGGTAAGGAAGAGTGTCTTCCTCCAGATCAAACCAGCACAGGCTGTGGAGGTTTTGCCTTCTAATGAAGGGCATAATCCTTTCCTAGAATCTTCTGAGCATTTAGGAACCTAACAGTTTCCCTGTCAGTGGAGGGAAGGCATTGGTAGTGCCTTAGTTTCCCCAGCTTTTCCTTCTGAGAGTTGTAGGGTGGTGCTGGTGTTTGGGGCACTGGACATTGTGGTTGTGGGGAAGGTTTTGCAGTGGGGATCTTGGGGAGTCCTTGGGTAGATGGTTGCCCATGGACCCAGACTCCCTGCCCTAGGAAGCCCCTTCTAGTCCTGTGCTTCTCCTGAGGCTGGCTCACATCTTGGAGGGGGGAGACACTTCTCCTTTGAGGAGTTTTGTACCTGCTGTCTTGTTGCAAGATCAGGAAAAGGTCATCCCTTGTTTGGACCCTTCCTGACATCCCCCATCATTACCTCTCTGACAAGTTTGCCCAGCTCTGAGTGAAGTGATTTCTTTTTTCTGGGCTCGTCACAGAATTGGGGTTTTGGGGGGGAGCAAAAAGATCAATTAACATTTTGGGGTGGGGGGCTGTTCTGTCAGTGATATTTTCAGATAAGGCCTCACCATTGTTGGAAGGACATGGGAAAAACAGGCTCATAATGTAATAGATGGATCCCAGTGACTATAACCTGGGAAACCTCAAGTCCAAACAGACTTGCAGTCAGCCATAGAGTCCCAGGGAGATGGGGTAAATGAAACCTGGGAGACTTTAGAGAAGTAGTGGGCTGATAGATGGGCATAGGTCCTGAGAGCCTGCTGTAGGGCCTTCTACTTGTCTGCCCCACTCTTGTATGAGACTCCATGGGCTGATTGGAGATCTGTTTTGGACTGGAGGTTTCCCCAGTGCTCTGTGGTCTCCCCCAAGAAGAGGGGATAGACTAGGCCTGGGGGTCTTTGAGAGGTGGCAGGGGCCCAGCCTTTCCAACTCTGGTCTGTAACTCTCCAAGCCTGGTTGGCATCTGCCTAACTGCATCCTGCCCCATCACCCCTTCCAGCACAGGCTCTGGTAGCCACCTCCCCGCCCAGCCACAGCCATATGGAGGATGAGATCTTCAACCAGTCTAGCAGCACTCCTACCTCCACCACCTCCAGCTCGCCAATTCCGCCCAGCCCTGCCAACTGCACGACGGTAAGGGCCTCCCTTGGGCTAGAACAGTGGGGCCTGGGAGCTTGGACTCTCAGAGCCTTTCTCAGCTCTGGGAAGTGGGGGTGTCTAGTAGGCTAGAGCAGGAGAAGGGGACTGGAAGCCAAGATTCCTGGGTCCTCTCCCAGCTCTGGGAAGAGGGTGGGGTCTAGTGGATTAGTGCATGGCCAGACTGCCTTATGGCAGCCTAAACATGCTTGAAGCCTGGGTTCCAGTGCTCCAGAGAACAGTGATGGTCGTGGCCCTGGACATGGGAGGGGTGCTGAGCTGACGGAGAAGGTGTGGTCCTGGGGCCAAAACATCAGAAATGTTTAAACACTTCTTTGTGGTGCCTGCACTGGCCTCTGCGTTCAGGCATGAGCCATTCCCTAGCCCTGCTGAGCAGTTGGGGGTCAAACACTGACTGAGCCCTGCTCTCTCCTCCCTACAAGGAGAACTCGGAAGATGACAAGAAGAGGGGGCGATCAACAGACAGCGAAGTTAGTCAGGTGAGCACTGGGGAGGGACTCTCTCGGGCTGCAAATACAAGGTCGGGTGCACTGTGCTGGCTATAGATCAGAGCGCTAGCACTAGGGACCCAGGACTCCTGGGTTCTCTTTGTTTTGGATGGGAAGTGCAAGGCCTGCTGGGTTGGAACAGGACTAGGAGCCAGAACTACTGGGTTCTCTCCCAGCTCTAGCCAGGGGACAGCCTGACCTGCTTTTCCTCTGTCCCCTCAGTCACCTGCGAAGAATGGTTCGAAGAGCGTCCACAACAACCACCACCCGCAGTCGCCAGCTGTCACACCTAGCTATCAGCTGGGGAGCAGTTCAAGCACCTCGTCCTCATTGGGCAATGGCCCTGGCTCCAACAGCAATGGGGCTGTGTCCAGTGGGAGCAGTGCTGGCAACAAGGCCAGTCCAGCCACAGGGCACACACCCAGCACCCCCACGCCCTATGCCCAGGCTGTCGCACCCCCACCTGCCTGCACCAGCGCCTCACAGCCCCGGCCCCCCAGTGCCCAGCAGAATGCTAGCAAGCAGAACGGTGCCACGAGTGAGTCCCTTGGTGGGATTGTTGGGTGGGTGTGGGGAGGGGAGGGAAGGGAGGGGAGCAGAGCATTTTAAGGGCAAGGGTGGAGATACTGAGATGGGAATAGCTGCTTTTCTGCCTGCCTGTGTTAGCAATGTGTTTCTACTACTGGTACCCATCTCTTACTTGGGGGGGGGGGGGGG